TATTACATGACGAATGACCAATGAAGGTCCTAACTAACACTGAGATAAGTAGAGATCGCGATATCTTAATTAACTAGATCAGTTAGTCGAGACAAGGGGCGAGCTCCTTAGACCTTTGAACTTTGACCCTGCATGCATGTCAAGGCCAACCCAGGCCGCGAGGGATAAAACATCCCAGCAAAATGGCGGAGATACTCGTTTAAAAAAAATAATTTTTTTTTTCAAAAATCAACACGCATTCCTTTCTCTGGCGCGTGACGGTGAAAAGTTTCCATTTCAACGCAGACGCCGGCGGTAAACAGATTCCGAATAATTTGACAATGAAAAGAAACTAGATTGTGAACAGAATTAATAATTAATATCCCGCCTGGAAAACTGCTCGACTAGTGCTAGCTACAGAGGTAACGTCGACCTTGCCGTAATAGTAATAGTAACCCTTTACTCTTTACAGAATCCTGAACAATAGAGACATCTCAGTGAACACCAAAATGAAAGTCCTGAAATGCTATGTTTGGTCAACCCTTCTATGTGGCTGTGAATGCTGGACAATCACTAAAGACAGTGAAAATAAAAATAGAAGCAACAGAAAGGTGGTTTCTCAGGAGACTGCTAAGACTAAGAGTATCGTGGAAGGAAAAGAAATCAAATGAGGTAGTGCTTGATGAAGCCCACTATCAACAACAACAAAATAATAGGTCTAAATAAAACCAAATCAAAACAATTTTACAACCCCCCCCCCCCAAGAATAAAAAAAATCACCTTTTAAAAACCCCCAAGCAAACGAAAAAAACAAAAACAGAAAGGAAAAACAGCAAAAACCAAAACAACCCACCTCTGCGCGGTCATGCGTGACGGTATATCTGGGCACTGGTATTCATTTTTTTTTCTTTCCCTCCTTTTTTTTCTTCTTTTCTTTAATCTTTCCTTTTCTTTGTCTCTGCTTTCTTTATTTCTTCCTTTCATCTGTCCATTTGTTGGACACGACTTTCGGACGGTGAACAGCAGCTACCCCACCACTTCTTTTCAAGAACCACGTAAATCACAAACTTGTAATTCTTCAGGTTGTGTCTAATTTAGTCTAAAATTTAAATTTAAAAAAAAAAAAAAAAAAAAGAAGAATGTCAGTGAGACAAGAAACAATTTTTAGAAGGAAGGGAAAAAAAGAATTAAAGTGTCCATCACTTATGGTTAGATCTACTCCGTCTGTCTCTGTCTCTGTCTCTGTCTCTCTCTCTGTCTGTGTGTCTGTCTCTGTCTGTCTGTCCCCGTCTGTGTCTGTGTATCTGTCTGTCTGTCTCTGTCTGTGCCTGTGAGTCTGTCTCTGTTTCTGTCTGTGAATCTGTCTGTCTCTGTGTCTGTCTCGGTCTGTGTCTCTGTCTCTCTCTATCCTTTTCTCTCTCCTTCTCTCTCTCTCTCCTTCTCTCTCTCCTTTTCTCTCTCTCTCCTCTCTCTCTCTCTCTCTCCCTCTCCCTCTCCCTCTCTCTCTCTCTCTCTCTCTCTCTCTCTCTCTCCAGGC